GCATTGTGTCTAATCACGAACTTTCTTCATAGCAAAGGAAGGGCAGTAATGGATTTAAGTGGGATTAAGTGGTCTTACCACATACCGTATCATCTGGAATTAAGTGGTCTTACTGTATACTCCATCACCTGGAAGCAGGTGCCTGTTTGAAACATGGAAGGGCTTACTCAGAGACAACATTGAAAGAATGGAGTTCTCTCTCACAAGATGCAATATATGCTTTGAGTCAGAGACCATTATATGGTGTTGCCTCCTCCATAGCAGAGTGTGTGGTTCAGAAGTCAGGGGGTGGAAGTAGAGTGGCTCTTTCACTCCTACACCCAATAATCCACTCACAGAATTTTTGTTTCCCTCAGCAACTTTGAGCTCTGTTGGTTTGAAGGACTTAGTTCCCAAATGGAGAATGTTTCTACCAGTGAACACAGCAGTCCCATTGAATTGGAAGATGAGACGGTCACCTGGTAATTTGGGACTTTATGTACCACTGAAAGTCTGAAATTCCTCATAAATGGAAGTTTGAGTCACTTTACCAGGTAAAGAACCTCAACTATCTGAGACTCTGGCTGAGGGCAGGAGAAATAGGGAATGAATAGTGGAAGCAGACCATTGACATCAGTCATGGCTTGACGAATCACAGAAATGAGGACTATAGCAATGTGACGTATTTTCTATTTGCTTGTTTTACATGTGTTTATTTGTCTAAGTTAGCCATTTTATTCTTTTCTTTCTTCCCATTTTCATGTTATCATACAAGTTGTTAGACTTCATTTTTTATTTTTATTTAAAAATATTTCAATGTTTATTTATTTTTGAGAGAGAGAGTATAAGGAGTAGAGAGAGAGGGAGACACAGAAGCTGAAACAGGCTCCATGCTGTCAGCACAGAGCCTGATGTGGGGCTCGATTTCATGAACCATGAGATCATGACCTGAGCTGAAGTTGGATGCCTAACAACTGAGCCACCCAGGGGCCCCTACAAGTTGTTAGACTTCAGTTAACTTCACAATTTAGTTTTTAGGTAACAGAATATTCAGTGAGACTGTGGCTGAGTTCGAGGAGTAACTACTGTAGCTAGAAATGAGCACCATGACTGATGGCCTGTGTGAGGAGCTGTGAAGAGCTCTGTATGAGCGCTGTGTATGGAGTCTGACTGTAGCCTCCCTCCCCCATCCTCACTCCCACATGTAAATATTTGTCCAATTTCCTGGGTGTTTTAAGGCAGGGTAGCAAATTCATACATTAGGAGTGGTCAAGCAGGTAAGGAAGTGTGCAGTGAGAATGCAAGCCTCACTTGAAGTGGGGGGGAAGCAATTCTCAGCTTAAGATGATTGTTGCCCTGTGTCCATCAAATGTAACTTTAATTTGAATAAACAAACACACATCACGTGAGACAAACAAAAGATATCTTCTAGGTTGTTCCAATCTCCACTTCAGAATTAATTCATGCATTTCTCAAATACGGAGGAGAAACACCAGAATAGCGTTTGAAGGAAGCCAAGAATTAGGGTGGTACAGAACGAGGAAGTGGTTGATCATGTTGAATGTTGAGGGACAGGTGCATACGAGGGTGGGGTGGGGACAGGGGGAGGAGGGCAGAGGGGAAGAGAGAGAATCTTAGGCAAGCTCCATGTTCACCATGATGCCTGATGCAAGGCTTGATCCCATGACCGTGGAATCATGACTTGAGCCGAAATCAAGAGTTGGTTGCTCAACTGACTGAGTCACCCAGGCGCCCTTAGTTTCTTTTATAATATATTGTGCCGCTAAAGTGGTTCAAGATTTTATGTGCTTACTCTAAGATTTCTGAACTTCCTGTCTTACTTAAAGGACTATCTCATCTGGAAATTAAATATTCTTATTTCCTTTTGATATTTGTATATATAGTTTTTACATTTGGATTTTAATTTTGAATACAAAATTATAAAGATCTTACTTTATTTTCTTCCAGACATATGTCGATGATGCTGACATCTTTTATTAAATAACCCATTCATTTACTGCCGAACTAGAATGTTACTTTTATAATATAATATGTCCCCACGCTTATTTGCATGTTTCTGGATTCTGTAATCTCTTCCACTCTTAAGGACGCTTCAGCTCAGACTCCCAACTTTATTGAGTTTTTTTTTTTAATTTTTTTTGTTTTTTATTTATTTCTAGGAGAGAGAAACAGTGTGAGCAGGGGAGGGTCAGAGAGAGAGGGAGGCACAGAATCCGAAACAGGCTCCAGGCTCTGAGCTGGCAGCACAGAGCCCGACGCGGGGCCCGAACCCATGAACCGCGAGATCATGACCTAAGCGAAAGTTGGACACTTAACCGACTAAGCCACCCAGGCGCCCCACCAACTTTATTGAGTTGTGACTAAACTTCTCCCACCCTAAGAAAGCTATATGGACGCTGTCAGCTTTTATTTTCCCTTTTTTGGTATTATGATAAAATACACTTAATGAAAAGTCTGCCATCTTGGGGGAGCCTGGCTGGCCCAGTCAGTAGTGCGGGCGACACTTGATCTCAGGGTTGTGAGTTCTAGCCACATGTGGGTGTAGTGATTGCTTAAAAGTAAAATCTTTAAAAAACCTCCCGTCTTGGGCACCTGGGTCGCTCAGTTGGTTGAGCGTCCAGACTCCTGGTTTTGGCTCAAGTCCTTATCTCATGGTTTGCTTCCTGGGATAGAGCCCCTCGTTGGGCTTTGTGCTGAGAGTGTGGAGCTTGCAGGGGATTCTCTCTCTCTCCCTCTCTCTCTGCATCCCCTGCTCTCTCTTTCTCTCTTTCAGAATAAATATATATTTATGCTATAAAAGAAGTAAATAAGCTTTAAAAATCTACCATCTTAACCATTTTTTTAGTGTACAGTTCAGTGGTATTAAGTACGTTTGTAATACTGAGTAATCGTCACCATTTTCTGTCATCATAACTCTTCATCTTGTAAAACCAAAACTCTGTACCTATTAAACAATAACTCCTCTGTCTCCCTTTTCCTCAGTGCCTGGAACCCACCGCTCTACTTTCTGTCTGTATGATTGTGTCTACTCTAAGTACGTATCATATAAGTGGAATCACACAGTAGTTGTCTTTTTTTGTGACTGGCTTATTTTACGTAGCATAGTGTCCTCAAGTTCAATCATGTTGTAGCATAAGTCAGAATTTTCTTCCTTTCTGAATAATAGTCAACTGTATGTGTATACCACATTTTGCTTCTCTGATCACCGATCCACGGACATCTGGGGTGCTTCCACACCTTAGCTATTGTGAATAATACTGTTGTGAACACAGGTGTACAAATATCTCCTTAAGATGCTGCTTTCAATTCTTTTTGGGTATATATCCAAAACTAGAATTGTTGAATCATATGGTAATTCTAGATTTAATTTTTTAAAAAACCTCCATATTGTTTTCCACGGGGGCTGTAACATTTTACATCCCCACCAATAGGGTACAAGGCTTCTAATTTTTCCACCTCCTCTCCAACACTTGTCATTTTGTTTTGGTTTGTTTTTTTGATAGTAGCCCCCCCAATGGGTGTGAGGTGGTTTGTCTCATTGCAGTTTTGGTTTGCATTTCCCCAGTGAAATCTATTAGCTTTTATATTAAAATGAATTTGGGTTAATTTTTCTTTTTTAAAAAAGTAGAAGACAAGGGCACCTGGGTGACTCAGTTGGTTGAGTGTCCAACTCTTAATTTCAGGCTCAGGTTATGATCCCCGGGTTATGGAATCGAGCCCTGTGTGGGGTTCTGGGCTTAAGATTCTCTCTCTCTCTTACTCTTTCTCTCATTCTGCTCCTCTCCTCCACCCCCCACTTGTGCATGCTCTCTCTCTAAAATAAAAAAAAAATTAATAAAAAAATTAAAAAGTGGAAGACACAGCTTGAAATAAATGAAAGCACTCTGGATTTGGGCAAAGCTTCTGTTAAAAATTTTACCTTTAATGACTTAGTAAGGTGAAGAAATGACTTGCGGGAGTTTTGTTTTTTGTTTTGTTTTGTTTTTTTGCCATCAGTGACTCCCTCCACCAGGAAAATTTTATATATATCTTTCCACAATCATCTTAGTATTCCAGGACATTAATGGTGTACCTAATGTTAGCATACCAGAGCTAGATAATGGTTAGCATACCAGAGCTAGATAATGAGGTATTAATAGCATAGCTAAAATAGTGTACCAACTAAAGATATATGTGCCCATGTTTGTAGGGGGAATGGAATTTATGCTAATTTGTAAAGTGTAATCCTTTAGGCAAGATGTAGAAACATCTTTCAGCAATTTTTTTCGAGGATGGGAAGGGAAAAGAGAGAGAAACGGGAGAAACAGAGAGAGAGAGAGAATTCTAAGCAGGATCCATGATCAGCATCCTTGCCCACTGTGCGACTCAATCCCATGACCTTGGGATCATGACCTGAGCTGAAATTAAGAGTCAGACACTCAACCAACAGAGCCACACAGGCAGCCCTGTAGAAACATCTTTAAAGGACTGGTCCTTAATATCTTAGTTGCAGATCCATTTATGGTTTACAAAGATTTCCGTATACAGGATCTCATTTGATTCTCATAAAAATTAAGCAAGGCAGATATCATTTCAGTTTACAAATGCCGAAACAGGCTTACCAAAGTCAAATAACCAGCCATGGGCCACACAGCTAGTGAGTGGCGGGCATATTTTAAAAATCAGATCCTGGTAAAGAGGGAGTCTGTGTTCTAACCCATGTAAGCACAGAGGCTGATACACAGTTTAGCACGTAGTATAAACTCACTGGATATTTGCTGAATGCGTCTTGTGAGCCTATTTCAAAGCTCTTTCCACTGTACTATGGAAGTCCACAACATAAAGCCAAATTCTTAACAACTGAAACCAGGGGATGAGGAAGAGGAGTGGGAGAGGGAAGGGATGGGTGAAGGTGGGGGGCTGGGGATGGAATAAAGGGGATATTCCCAGGAGAATGAGGAAGTTGGAGATGGAGGCAGCACTTCTGGAAATGTCAGTGTTTATTAAACATTTAAGGACATTTGGGGGTTTGAGAAGAAATATACAGAATGTAGAAAAATCCTAAGAATCCCCTGTGGCTGGGAGTGCAGCCTTCCCCTCCCCCCATTTCCCATTTGTTTTTCCTTTCTGTTTGGTTGTTTAAAAGCCGCTTGTTAAGCCTTATTTGCCCCATCCTCAATTCCCTCACCTGTGAGGATTCTTTGTCTCTCTCTGTCTCTCCTTCCCCATGACCTTGAGTCCTGGAACAGTGCTCCAAAGCGGTCAGGGGCACCAGTCTTATAGCTGAGGGTTGAGGACCAGGGGTCCCTCTGCTTGGGCTAGCTCTCCATTAAGGATTTAATGGGGGGTGGGGTGGGGAATTGCAAAAACCACATGACGTCATTGGTACTCAGTCATGGGGGGAGGGCACAGGCAAACAAACAAACGAGAACGGATTAAAAAATAAAAAATAACTAACAACCTAAATAAACCCTGAAGGAGAGTCTGATCTGGGGGTTCTGGGTGTTAGCTGGGAGGACAGAGTACGGAGCTGGGCCACCTGATGAAGGGGAGGAAGGGTCAGAAAGAAGAGAGCGAGGGAGGGCTGGGTGCCGCGAGGGAACGCCAGGTGGCCTGGAGTTGAGGCACGGGGTATCAAGGTCCCTTTCTTCTCGGCGCCAGAGGGGCAGGCACCAAACACACAGTCCTTGGGGCCGGTGAAGGGTAGGGTGAGGCCCCTGGGCTCCCAGAAAGCCAGGGGATGCAGGTGAGGGAGACAGGGGCTGCCTGCGGAATGAACTTTGGAATGAAACTTACATCTCAAAGGGTGCTGAGGGCAGGGCAGGGCGGGGGAGCTAAGGAGGAAAGCACCTAGACAGGGAATAAGAGAAGCCTAGGTCCCCCTGCTCTGGGAGGGCCCGGGGGGGGGGAGGTGGTCACTTGTCGGAGTCCAGACCCATCATGTTCTTGAGGGCGTTCTTGAGGCTGGTTCTGCTGGGGGACTTGACCGCAGGCCGGAGCTCCGAGCTCTGCTCATCCTTCCGGAGTTCCATCTCGATGACCACCACCTGAGAGCCTTTGGTGGGCTCCGCTCCTGCCCCCCGACCCCCCGCCCGGCCCGCTAACCGCTATTTCTTATCCTTGCGAGACTCCCCCAGCCCCTTGGACTTCTTTTCACTGGCAGCTTTGGCGCTTCTGCTGTGGTCCAGCATGGCATACAGCACCGGCGTCTGCAGGGACGCGTCACACGTCAGTCACCCTTCTGGTGGGGCCCGTCCCCACCCCTGCTCCCATCTCATCCCTTGCTGCTGCCACGTAGCTCTGTGGCTTATCCAGGCCCCAAGTCCCACTGACCTGCCGGCCGCGCTTCGAGTCCTTTGCAGCCTTGTGCAATTTCCCCTTCTCCATGGCACTGCAGGGAAACGGTTGCTCTGAGTTGGCCCCCCTCCATGCCCGAGCCCCCTGGAGAGCGCCTATAGCTGCCTCTTCCCTTTGCCGCCTCCACCTCCTCTCCCCCCACTGGAGAAGTCTCCGCCCCATGGGGAACAGTGGGGTTACAGGGAAGGTGGTCAGGCTCCCCTTACCTGAGCCTCCTCTGCAGGGCCGCCTGTCTGCGTAGCCAGCAGTACCGGATCAGATAGAAAAGCAGCAGCAGCAGCAGCACCACCCCCAAGATGCCCCCGATCACAGCTCCCAGCACCACCCCGTACCTAGTAGGCACTGGGGGGGGGGGGGAGAGGATGGAAAATAAGTAGCGTGAGCAGGGACACGCGCCTTTGGTTCCTAGCCCCACACCTGTTTCCTGCTGTTGGGATGTACAACGCTCAGCCAAGGCCATCCCCACTCCGCCCCCCAAGCCTGAAGGGCATTAGCCCAGGTACTTTGCCTCTTCCCCCAGCCCCCCTCCCCTCCACCCCCACCGCCGTCCTCCCTGATGTCTTCCCTCGCTGTGTTGCCAGACCCCCCACCCCCCCCACCCCGGGCCATCTCCTCTCACACCTTTTTCAAAGACATAGAGTGTGACCTGAGAAGTCTTGCCCACTATGTCTGGTGGGTTTTTGACATCACAGGTAAAAGTGCCGTTGTCACTGTAGTCCAGGTTGTGTATGACAATAGAGCCATCCTTCCAGTGAGGGTCCCCTACCCACTGGATGCGCTCTTTGAAGGTCCCCACCTCATCAATGTAGGGTTGTCCCTTGGCATAGTGGAAGATCTATGAGGAATGAGGGGAAATATACGGGTCTAGCCTCAGGGTAAGGGCTCCTGGACTGGAGAGGGCAGTTGGGGGTGGGGGAGACAGTGTAGATAGGCCCTTACTTACCTTGCCAAAGTTAGGGTTATGGCTCATAAAGGATTTCCCCTCCTTTGCCCAAGTGCTCTTATCTGTTGTTCTTCGGAGCACTGTTTCCTTAGGGGATCCCAGGGCTCCCCCAGGCACTCACCGAGATAGCGTCGCGGCCCCCTTCGGGCTGGTAGCGCCAGGTAAAGGAGATGTCATCTGAGACCCACTCGCTGGACCAGAAGGAGCAATGCAGGGTCACCCGGGAGCCCACGGCGCCATGGACCTCTTTGTCCGTGTAAACCACAATGGCCTGGACCCGGGGGAGCACTGGAAGCAGAGAGGGGAATCCGATGTGCGCCTGCGCCCACTAAGGCATATAGAGGAAGTGAGGCCAACAGGGAGTCAAGGGACAATTAGAGGCCATCGCAAAGCTGGGGCAGAGATGATCAACACTCAACCCCAAATGTCTCTGGGTTAACTGAATAGCTAGGTGGAAACGCTGCGTTGGTTCAAGTTCAGCATGTTCATAAGAGGAAACGAAATCAGCAGTAACAGAACTCTCTTGAGGAGTTACATCCAGAAGTTGGATTCTGTCTCCAAGTCTCGCTTTCCCTTTGGGTCAGTATTTAACTCTTAAGGTATCCCTTAGATGCAGGCTTTAAAATTTTTTTAATTTATTGTAAGTTATATGGTAATACATATTGCATTCTTTAGAGAAGCTATTCAAATAGAGATAAAGCTAAAGTCTTTCTTTATCAAATATTTATTTCTTTATCAAATAGAGATAAATCTAAAGTCTTTCCCTCCCAACAAATTCTTTTCCTGTAGTCCCCTCCCAAAGATGACCACTCTTAATCAGTTTAGTAAGTAACCTTTTTCTACATATCAGGTACAATGTAAACCCAACAAACTCAAATTTTACATGTATTTACATGAAATAGTTTTCTTGTATGTTGCTTCTCTTTTCTTTTTGAGATACATTGCATTACATGGTACTTGGCTTTTTTTTTCACTTAAGAATATATATATATACATATCTGAGGGAACTTCTCATGTTGAGTCACAGAGATCAATCTTATTTTTAACAGCTGCATAGTATTTCACAGTATCACAAACTCAAATTCCTTGCAGAAAAAAAAAATGAAGATAATTAAAGAATGTTGTTTCCCAGCCCAACTGTCCTTACTGCTGAATCCCTCGTTGCCATACAGTTTGCTATTGACTGGGAGGTCAGGGAGGAAGGATCTCACATACTCCTCCAAGAGGAAGCTGGGTACAGAGGAAGATTCCAAGCTCAGAGCTCAGACGACTCTTCATGTGAGCCCTCTGTGGCTTGACCCTCATCACTCTCCTCTCGGCCATTCTGGCTCAGTGCCACTCCCAAGACTCACCCACACAAGGAAGGCCATTCCAGGGAGATTATGTGTGTGGGCTGGCCTTGGGTGGGGGCAACTGTAGACTCTTTTGTTCTAAGGGCGGGGGAGGAAGCAACCAAACAAACAGAGACCCATTGTCTGACCAATGTTGGGGGCTCATGCCGTCCCCAGACCCCATAACCCACCCCCCACCCCTGCTCCATAGTCTCACATCTCCCACCTCAGCATGCAAGATCAGTGACTCACTTCTCCTTAGAGCTCTCTTGGGAATCCCAAATGCAACAACGAAGGTTACTCATTGGATCTAACTTCTATTCCTCCCGTTCTAACATCAACCACTGCCCTTCAGCCCTGCTCAGTGGTACTATGAGTGGGACAGGTTCTGGAACAGAATTCTCTTCCTCATTCTCCAAGACTCCTTCTTCCCACTGCCTTCACTATGACCTCTCCAACTTCCTATCGTTAACATTTTCTCTGGGTGTCCCAGAAGAGTCCAGCACAACACGCAGAAGAGTCTGGATTCTGGGTTTAGGACTCAAAGAGCTGACAGCAGAGAACCTTGGATATTCTGAGCAATTCTCCCTTCCACTCCAATTTGCCTGCTACTCCTCTATTGTGCTAGGCTTTGGGGCAGTTTGGAGAAGGGAAGTGTCCATTCAAATAACCCTACTTTTGACTTTCTCTTGCTCACCCAACATCTGCCACGGGGTGAGGAAGGGTTTGGTGAACTTATAAAGGAACACTGCTTTAGATGGACAAGATCTTGGAATATCACAGAACCTCGCTCCTACTCCTTTCCCGCACGTAATAGACAATGGATCCACAGAGAGAAACTGAGGCACCAAGAGACAAAGGATTCGAGGAATTGGGACCACAAACCTTGGGCTCCTTCCTTGGATCACATTCCCTGGCTTTTCTGTTCAGGGGAACTAAGGTTAAGAACTTCATGCACTGCTAGGGAATGATTAGGTACCAGACCCAGGTGTCTGATCCTGTTCCTTACCACACCACAACACTGCTTCCCACCGGGCACCCAGCATGGCTCTGGGGGCGTGTTACTGCCTTCCAACCTGGGTCCAGTCAGGTCCACCTCAGGGAAACCCTCTACACTCTTTTACCTTCTCCCTTCACAAAATACCTTTAGTGCCTCCTTCCAAACTGTATATCTTTTTCTCTGACTATAACATTACCTTCCTGCTCCCGCTCACTCTTTGGCTGCAGTGGGGCATGCAGCAAAGGCGTGAGAACATTGCTGAGAGGCGACCTGAGCTCCAGGGTCCCCAGACTGGGGTGGCTCCACTTACCCAAAGAGGAGAAGAGCAGCGCAGCCAGGATAGGACTGGGGCTGGACGAGGGGGCCCCAGGAGCCATAGCTGGGCCAGGGGCTGGGGCTCGGAGCGTCTGTGGGGATGGGAGAGTGGGGGACAAGGGACTGAGCGGGGGGTTCCTGGAATCCGCTTAAAATCCCCTGGGGCCCCAGTATGAGGGGGCTGTCCTGAGCCAGGAACCAATTGCAGCCTGGCATGTGCGGTTGAGAGGTGGTGGGGAGGGGGAAAGGGGACAGGGAGCAGAAGGGGCATTGTGTCCTCTCGGTGGAGGGGTGGGGGGACACATACCACCCCATACACAGAGGGCTTTGTGTCTGCTGGCCTCCCCCTGCCCTAGGCTGGAATGCCTGGGGGGGGGCGGTGAAGAAGAGGGAGAGAAAAAGGGACATAAACACACTTCTCTGATGGATAGATGGGCAGGGAACCCTGAATCCTTAGGCCAGGAGAGGGAATTCCTCTATAGCCTCCTTCCCAGAGAACTCTGAAAATGGGATATCCCTTTTTTTTTTTTCTTTTTATGACTATAGGTTGCATTATAGGAAAATATCCAGGGAAGAATTTCCCTGAGCTTTCCCTCTTTGTCAGGGAATCTTTCAATGCCTCATGTTGCAGTTTAAGTCCATTGCGATTTAGGACAAGGCAACAAAATTGCATTGAGTGCCAGCTATATGTAAAGTATGGGTTTGTGGGTAGCAGAAAGAGGAATCAAAATTAAGTTTCTCCTTGAAGGAGTTTAAAATCTAATGGGGGGGGCAGAGAAGGGAAGATCAGAGGACAAACCCATCAATACCCAACATGACCAACCATGATGCTTGCCGTAGCAGTGGGATTAACAAAGCGCTTAGAATACCACGGTGGGCACAACAAGATCTGCTTGAGCATGGGCGATAGTTTACAAACATCAGGGAGATTAAGTTATGTATCAGAGGTTAAAAACAAACAAACAAAAAAACCATTTAATAAATGAGGTTCAGAGGCAGGGGAAGTCCTGTCTAGAAAGCAACATTAGATATGGACCAACTTTGAAGAATGTGTGCCATTTTGAAGAAGAGAAATGGGTAGTGAAGGTATCTAGGCAGATAGAATAGCAAACGCAAAAACAAAGACATAAGAAAATGTGTGTGTGTGTGTGTGTGTGTGTGTGTGTGTGTGTGTGTGTGTGTTGGGTAGGTTTGTGAAGTATTGAGGATATTCAAGGCAGCTCTTGTGGCCTCCACTTTGACTTGATTTGGGGGAACGTGAGGGGCATGATAGGAAACAAGTCTGTACAGGAAAGGTGAAGCCAATTGGTGAAGGGCATTAAATGGCAGGCCAAAGAGGGTGGGATTAATAAATTCATCGTAAGAATTTCCTGAAGTTTGGGGGTGCTATTTAGGATTAGGCATGGGAGTGTCCACACGGTCAGAGCTGAGTGCTAAGACAAATCTGGCTTAAAAAATCATTCTGAGACCAGAGTTCTCCTAATTGTTGTCCCCTTTGGATTATCTGAAATGATTTCGTTTTTCACGGAACCTCTCATACTTCCATTTGAAATGTTTTCCCTTCTGGTTTCCCCTTTCTTTCTCTGATCTCAGGCCTTGGATAGACCCTGCTTTTCTCTCCTGCTTATTTTAAAGATAAACCCCGGGGGCGCCTGGGTGGCTTAGTCGGTTAAGCGTCCGACTTTCGCTTAGGTCATGATCTCGCGGTGTGTGGGTTCGAGCCCCGCGTCGGGCTCTGTGCTGACTGCCAGCTCAGAGCCTGGAGCCTGTTTCAGTCTGTGACTCCCTCTCTCTCTGACCCTCCCCTGCTCACGCTGTCTCTCTCTCTCTCTCTCCTAGAAATAAATAAAACATTAAATAAAATTAAAAAAGAAAGATAAACCCCGGTGATGAGGGGCTTGACTTAATATCTTGTTTGAATTTCAATGTAATTAATTTCAATCAGTTCTGGGACCTACAGATTAATTTGAGGGGAGAGGCCACTGTTTTCCTGGGAGCACTGTAAAGCCACAGGCTGCTGGTACCTACCGGTCATCTCCTTCCACAGGAGATGGTGGGTTCCATGATTAGTATTGGATTTGGACTGTGGAACTCTAAATATGGGACTTGATCATGAAGGCCACAGGCTAATCAGCAAATGTTCACAGGATGTTGTAGTCAATTACACCTCCCTAACTCTACCTCCCCAGCTGCAAATGATTACTTTCTGCTTTCATCCACCCACCTCTTTTACCTATACCTCTTTCATGGGGTTGCTACTTCCTTTGTTATATTTATTTACTGATCCTGCTAAGGCATAAGCTTCTCGAGGGCAATTATGTGTCTTTGAATTTGTGTCTTTGAATCCCCTGAAGCACTTTCACATATTCTACAATAAGTCAATATAAATACATGTCAAATGAATTTATTTAAAGAGGTAAGTAAAGAGGTGTTCACTGTATTTGTTAATGTGAAGCACCAGGGGGCCAAAATAGAATCAATGACTGAAAGTCTGGACGTTTTTTGTTTGTTTATTTTTGAGAGAAAGAGAGAGCACGCAAACGCACACACCTGAGTGAGTGGAGGGGGGAGGCGTGGGGGGGGGGGAGGAGAGAATCCCAAGCAGGCTCCTGTGCTGTCAGTGTAGAGCCCAACCCTGGGCTGGAACCCATGAACTGTGAGGTTACTATCTGACTCAGAACCAAGAGTAGGATGCTTCACTGACTGAGCTACCAGGGCACCCCAAAGACTGGAAGTTCAATAGCGGAAAACTGTATTTTATTTTGTCTTTTTAAAGGTTTTATTTGTAAGTAATCGCTACACCAATGTGGGGCTCGAACTCACAACCCTGAGATCAAGGGCCATGAGCTACACTGACTGAGCCAGCCAGGCTCCCCAGAAAACGGTTTGAATATAACAACTTTCTAATGATTAAGCTCTTTACTAAATAAAACTCGTGCTTTGAGGTAACCTTTACTGAGTCTTGAAGATCAGTGGCCAACAGTGTTGTATAGGAAATCCCTGCACTGAATAGAAACTAAAGTCAGAGAACTGCTAAGGTCCCTTACAGTCCAAAAGTCTATAAAAGTCAAGTATTATAGAAATGCAAAATAGGATTTTCATTTGATGCAGAAATCAGTGAATTTGTGCTATTTAAATCCCAAATATGCAGGAGTGCTAAATATAAATGAGATCTGAATATTAATGTAGCTGAATGTCTTACTGTAGAACAGGAGTTGCTCTAGGTTGTGTCCTTCACGTCTCTTCCCCCGCCAAAATAAGATTCACGAACTTTTTCAATTTCCTATTCTTTTTTCTCACTCTCTTTTTCTTCCCTAAGTCACAAATGGTCTGCAATTGATTGCTGTGCTTGGGTTCCTCAAAACCACATATATGTGTGTATAAATCAAAGCGAGTTCTCCCCCACCCCAGGTTCTTCTGGTTGTGGGTGTCGCCCACACAGTCTTGAAACAAGGAACAAAGGAGCGCTGTATTTGGCTAGTGGGCGTCCAGCTCAGGCGGCAGCTCAAGCCCAGGAATTGTGGGGCACAAAGCTTATCCAGGTGGTCAGAGGAGGTTCCCTGGCCTTGGGATGGTGGTCTGCGTAGTTCCCACGATCCTCAATTTGGCCTCAACTCGTGTATCTCTGCTCTGCTGTGCAGCTTCCCATCAGAACGGATGGAGCCGGTTTCCCCGGGGCCTCAGCCGGCCTACTTGGGAACGAGGGGAACGAAACTACCCTGGAGTCGCTGGTGAAGGATCAGGGCAAGTCAGAGGTTCAGTGGTGCGAAGCAAAATGAGTATGTTCGCAGGTAAAACGCAGACCGCACAGTTTGAGTCAGCGCCATTCTTGCCGCCCCCTGGCAAATTCTGGTAAATCCAGCCCAGGGAGACCGTGCAGAAAGAGAGAACCACAAAAAAATCAACGGTGAACAACGCTGAAGCGGACGGATTCCGAGCCTTTTAAAGAGCCGGTGCTGTCACGTGATAGATAGAGCCCCGCCCCCAAGGTGGCGGAGACGTTGTGCGTCACTTCCGTCCAGGCCGGAACTCAAGATGGCTGCGCTCCTGTTGAGGTGACTTTAGACTGGGGCTGGGAGTCTGTGTCTGCGGCTCTGGGGAGGCCTGCGCCGCCCCTGCCATCTTGCCGACGACTGTTTGCACCGTGCCGGGGCAGGGGAAGGGCCCGCGGGTGTGCGGGCCGCGCGTCCTGGACTCCCAGGGCCCCTTCCCTTCCCCTCGCCGCTCCGCTCCTCGGGGTCACTGGCCCGTTATCTCCTTAACTCCCTACCGAGGAGTCGCGCGGCTTCCTTCCCTTCTGCTTCCCCCACCTCCAGTACTCTCCCCCCAGGTTGCGTTCGGGGCTGCACCCAGAGCCAGGCTGCGAGAGAATAAATAGTTAGGACTTCGAGGTCCGCGGACCATGGGTCGTACGACTTCGAGCTCTTATTCGGGCCTCGGGAGGAGAGATCTTGCTGGACTTGGCTTTTGCCTAGAACTCCTGCAGACACTCGTTGCTGGCAGTTCCTGACGGGCCCCTGGCGGAGCGGGCAGGAGTCCTGGATCCCTACCGCGCGGGCGATTGGAAATAGCGCTCATAGCGGTCGCTCTACCGTCCTAAAGCAGCGCAGGGAATTCACTTTTAATTTATCTTTTTTTTTTTTAAATGTTTTATTTATTTCTAGGAGAGAGAGAGACAGTGTGAGCAGGGGAGGGTCAGAGAGAGAGGGGGTCACAGACTCTGAAACAGGCTCCAGGCTCTGAGCTGGCAGTCAGCACAGAGCCCGACGCGGGGCTCGAACCCACGAACCGTGAGATCACGACCTGAGCGAAAGTCGGACGCTTAACCGACTAAGCCACCCGGGCGCCCCTAATTTATCTTTTTATTTGGGGCGGGGAGTGGATGTCTCAGTTTTTCTATACAAGGTCATTTACTGTCCGGAGAAGTATCCTAGGTTTTCTTCTATTCTGTCCTGTCCACTGTCTAGCCCTCAGTCTCAGCCTTTCTAGACGGCAGCGACTTGAGTGACTTTACACTCTCTTGGTACAAATCCCAGCATAGTTTCGGGCCAGGCCTATTTTTGGAAACTATTTGTTATGGAAAGTTAGTTTTAATGTTGAGATTTAATTCCTGATTTCCCCAAATGTCTTCTCATTTCTCTTTCCACTTCAGTACACCCAGTATAAAAATAGAGGGGCTTTATTTAGTTTTTCTCGGTGACAGAACGATTCCTTTTGGGGTTGAGATCAGGAATGGGTTATCTTCATCATTTTTCTCCTTCCCTCTCATTTCCAAATGTATCTTTTTTTCCTAAAGTGTTGCCAGCGCCAGTCTTGCCAGAACTGTGTTCTTTATTCCAGGTAGTTTTACCGTAATTGAATGATTTTGAATTCTTTGATGTATTTTGGTGGATGTCAGGGGCTTTCGGTGGAATTGACATTTACCTTGAAATGATCATATTGGTTCTAAACAGTTCATTTGAGGAGTTTCTGGATTATTGTTTGGAAGCTGACAATTATCATACTCATTAAGTATATCCAGACAGTATCATTTTGCGATGTGTAGGACTGTCACCACTAGAGTTAAATTTCAAGAAATAAACTTCTTGTTCATTAGTATTAGTCTGAGGCTCATGGGAAGGGTGCCTTTCCTTTTTTCACAA